ATATATACACACATACATACATACATATAAAATGATACAGTGTCAGTCCCCTTAAGGGAAAGCAGGATTTTGTTAAACCTCCATTTAGAGCTAGTCTGAAGGGGCCATGTGTTACAGTTCAGTTTTATGGAACTGTTCAGATATAAATATTAAAACCTCCAAAACAATCTATATGTTCAAAAAGGAAATTAAGTCAAAGTTATTGGAAAAATATAAAACCATGTTATGTCTGCTGGGAATAAGATATAAAAGACACCAGATGTGTATTTGTTTGTTTGTTGTTTGTAAATCTGTAGATTGTTCAAGAAAAAGTTTGTTGTAAGTTTGAAGTTATTTCTTTTTTAAAATAAGGGGCAGATATTCAATGTTTTACTCTGCACCCTTTTCATTCAGAACTTTTTAAAATTTTGTTATTGTGTATACATTTTGTGTGTTTGAGTAAAATTAATTTATTAAAAAAATTCAAAGTATTTTACTGGTATAATAAACACGAGTATGAATACTTTGTCAAGGAACTGTAAGTACTAAATTCAAAGGCAAGCGTGTTTAATTCCTATAGGACAAATGAAGGAGCACATCATGGATGTAGCCAGCAGCACAGTTCAATGTCAGTATCAGGGAAAATCACACACCTGGTGCATCGGACGCATGTAGATGATACGGTTTCTCTCAGGAGGCATCCTAAGTATCTGATCCAGAACTTGTTCCATGTCAAGCTTCTTACACTGAGCAAAGTCAAACCTGTTAATGATGGGTGCTCTTTCTATTCGCAGCTGCTTTAACACTCGACATCTAGTGGCTGCAGAGAGGGAGAGCAAAAGTACAGTTTAGATTTTCACCATCTTAACAGTAGCTGTTCAGCTTTTGGTTCTAAAACTTGTCATTAGTTTAAGTCTACATTCAGACTGCAGGTCTTAATGTTCAATTACGATTTTTTATTTTATTTTATATTTTTAAAGTTTTAAAATTTTGTGTGTGTGTGGATGTTCATACTATATTTTAAATGTGACCTCCATCAGACTCCAGTGTGAACTCAACACTGATGTAATCTGCTTACACAGAAGACAACATGACATCACACCCAGCTTGCTGTTTACAGGAGTCGTCTATGGATGCTATATCGGCTCACTTCCACCACACGATGAAATGTGAAAAGCATTCAGATCAGTTATGTATCTGATTTAGTAACACATACTGAAAAGGCCTGTCAGGAAAAACCTGATAAGGGCACATAAAGGCAAAAAAATCTGGGACACATTTACCTGCAGTGTGAACATAGCCAAATTTATACTTTTATTTTCAGTGGCAGTACAGACCTTCTTCCCTGCCTGCCACACCTCTGAAAATGACAGACTGGACATTCAAGGAAAAACTTAACTTTAAGACACTTGTAATTTGGAGAACTATCGTTTAAACATACTTTCAAAGACATTTCTGTTTCTTTTGAAAAATCTATGAAGGGTAGATCTAGATAGTTATTCATTTTATCTTATTTGGAAATTGTACGTGTAAGAAAAAAATCAAAACTGATGTGACACTGAAACAAAATTTCCCATTTTTAATTGTATTTCTGGATCTTTAGTATTTTATTAGCAAAATGAAAAAAAGAAAAAAAAAGCTGCAACATAAAATTAGCATCAGAGTGGTATTTACCATGAATGAACATCATTTTGGGACAATCTTTGAGGACCAGATCAGTAATTCCACAGTTGGTCAGAGTGATGCCCACCAGATTCTTACTCTTCAAGGTTAAAATCTGTTCAGGTAAAAACATTGATTCGATCAAAAGTATGTAATTACACTGTATGCACCTTCCAAAGCCGATATTTCAGTTAAAATACACAAGCAAAAATATTGATCCAAGTTTAGTACTACCCCCATATTTGTGGATGATTTTATGAATTTAATTTTTCGTATTATATTTGAATAAATACAGTCCTTAAATCCAGAGATAGATAGATAGATAGATAGATAGATAGATAGATAGATAGATAGATAGATAGATAGATAGATAGATAGATAGATAGATAGATNTAGATAGATAGATAGATAGATAGATAGATAGATAGATAGATAGATAGATAGATAGATAGACAGATAGACAGATAGACAGATAGATAGATAGACAGACAGATAGAACTTTATTTCATTCAATAAACAAAAAAATAATAAAACAAACAAATAATAAAAGAACAAACAAATAATACAACATTGTTGTATGGGCAGCGCTAATTCAAATTCAATTCAGTTAGTTGCAAAAATTCTAAAGCACAAGTTAAAATATTTAGTTCCGCAAGTTCTAAAGTGCATGTGCCCAAAAAAAAACTTAGCGGAAGTTAAAACTAATGCGCTGCTCAGTCTCCGAGTTCACCAGAATAAATGTTTCCAGTGATAACATGAGCCATTCTTGTGTAGCACTGCCAACTGTTGGCATGATAAATTGCTTTCAACCAATGGCACATTTTGTCGCGGTTTGGGGAGGTGATTTGTTGAAACAGACTTTTGACTCGTGGTTTTAAAATAAAACGTTGTTGTGGATTGCAAGTTCTGCTGTTTCATGGTCATTCTGTTATGTTTATGGTAGGGCGTCGGTAGGAAAGGATGCAATATATTAGTAATTTTAAAGTGTTTATTGGAGAACTGAAGCGATGCATTCTGGGTAAAGGACGAAGTAAAGGAAACCGTCTTCACTTCAAAATAAGAGCATGAATTTAAACTGTAAATATCGGTTATCGGCCGTAACAGCAATAATTATATCGAATATTGATATCGGCTTAAACTGGTGGGCAGTTTGTAAAAGCCAGTTTTGCTGCCATTTTCAAGGAGAAAGTTTGCCTTTCCTGTGTCCAAGAACTGATCCACTGGCAGCCTCTTTTTTTTTTCTTTTTCAACTTGCTAATGTCAAAACAAAACCATCGAAGAACTGCACAGCTGAGCGTGATTCATGTGTAGCTGGAACCTGGAGACACTTCAGCCGAACCTCAGATCAGAACCACAGCAGGCGCGCCACGCTGGAGAAGGGCTGAGGAGTTTTGCTCAGTGATGTAGCTCCAGTTGCTTCCTACCATGCAAAGAACTGTGGGAGATGTCTCTTAATTTCAGAACCATCACCCAAGAGGACATTTAGTTACAGTATAAAGCTTTGTGTGATTTTTAAAACATCTGAGGGGGCGCTGTTTCCAGAAAATGTTTCCACACGGTATTAGTTTGTGATGGCATGCCCTCTCTACTTCAAGAAAATGTGCTGTCATTTCATTGTGATTTGTACAATGACAATAAAGGTTTTATCTTTTTTAAATCTTATCTTAAATTTAAAAAACTTTAGACATTTAGGGACTTTTCTTAACTGTAACTGCAGATGACTTTCTACCCCTGCTCAATAGTCAATTAAAAATTTAGATTAGCGCTTCTCAATTTTAAAGTTAGAAAACACAAATCTGCACACAGCTAGAGAAAATTAATAAAACCCTTAAAGTGCAAACGAGAAATTTAGGTCTGCAATTAGCACTCTAGCTCTTTAAATGGACTGTACTGATATAGGACCTTTCTATCCAACCAGGACTCTCAAAGCTCTTCACTCTACAATCTGTGTCCTCATTTATCCATTCACACAGCACTCTGTTAGGTCTCTACAAAGCTAATCAGTGCCAATCACATTCATACACTGATGGGACACATCAGAGGCATTAGGGGTGATGTGTCTTGCCCAAGGACACAACTGAGACAGCTGGACGGGGAATCGAACCAGCGACCCTCCGGTTCCAGGATGACTCCCCTAACCCCTCTGTTGTAGCAGCGTCGGCTGCGGGACCTGACAGCGCTGGGAAGCAGGACGATAGGAGAGTGGAATGAGTCCAGAACTTATTTCTAGCAGCAGAACAGGTTGGAAGGTGGTTATTTGATATTTGTTGTTTTTTTAAATCATCCTATAGGCTCTGACATGTTAGATAAATTTGAAAATGAGATTTTGAAAAAATCTTTAAGACTTGAAAAAATCCGTACGATTGTTCTATACGTCCGTATACCTGCAAAACGACGTAAAATCCTTATAACTTACGGACAATCCGTACAACCTGACATGTATGAGAGACTAATCATAGTACAATTAATCTATCATTATATATCTACCTTCTTTGTCTTTATATGCATATACACATATACATGCTCATAATTCAGAGCGCCAGATAAAATCATCACCTAGTTTGCCTCCCCAAATTGTGGGAAGAGTAAAAGATCTGCTTGAATCCCAGCCTGTTCAGTTTTGCCTGTTCATTATCAGCTAGATGTGTTTCCTGCATTAAAGCATTTGGGCTTAGTCTCTATTAAATTTAGATAGGGCTTTCCACATTTTTCACGGGATTATGTAAGCTAGTAAGACCTGACCCCTCCGTCCGAACCTGAGCAATGTTTTGCTATTAGACTTCTGTGCTCGTCATGGATTGTCCATAACAAACACCATGTTCAAGCATAAGTGTGTCCACATGTGCTCTTGGCACCAGGACACCATAGGCCGCAGCTTGATGATCGACTTTATTGTTGTTTCATCTGATCTGTGGCCGCATGTCTTGGACACTTGGGTGAAGACAGGGGCGGAGCTGTCAACTGAGCACTACCTGGTGGTGAGTTGGCTCCGTTGGTGGGGGAGGATGCCGGTCAGACCTGGCAGACCCAAACGTATAGTGAGGGTCTGCTGGGAACGTCTGACAGGGTCTCCTGTTAGACGGAGCTTCAACTCACAGAACTTTGAACAGGTTCCGAGGGAGGTGGGGGACATTGAGACCGAGTGGGCCATGTTCCGTACCTCCATTGTCGAGGCGGCTTACCTGAGCTGTGGCTGTGGGGTTGTCGGTGCCTGTCATGGCAGCAACCCTTAAACCCCCTGGTGGACATCAGTGGTGAGGGATGCTGTCAGGCTGAAGGAGTCCTACCGGGTCTTTTTGGCCTGTGGGACTCCGGAAGTTGCTGATGGGTACTGGCAGACCAAGCGGATTGCGGCTCGGGTGGTCACTGAGGCAAAAACTTGGGCGTGGGAGGAGTTTGGAAAGGCCATGGAAAAAGACTTCTGTACGGCTTCAAGGCAATTCTGGTCCACCATCCAGCGTCTCAGGGCGGAAAGGTGGTCTGCTACCAACTTGGTTATGGTGAGGATGGTGCGCTGCTGACCTCAACTCGGGACGTTGTGGGTTGGTGGGCAGAATGCTTCAAAGACCTCCTCAATCCTACTGACACGTCTTCCTATGAGGAAGCAGAGTCTGGGTACCCGGGGGTGGATAAGATACACCCGGAGCGGGAGATCGATAGGTGGATTGGTGGGGCGTCTGCAGTGATGCGGGCACTCTACCGATCTGTGGTGAAGCCAGAGCTGAGCCAGAAGACAAAGCTCTCAATTTACCAGTCAGTCTACGTTCCTACCCCTATGGGTAGTGACCGAAAGAACGCAGATACAAGTGGCCAAAATGAGTTTCCTCCGCAGAGTCTGGGCTGAAGTGTTTCTCAGCTGGCCTGGGAACACTTTGGGATCGCCAAGTGGTTTTGTTGGTCAAAAAGATCAACCCATATGTACTATAATAAGTTTTTAATTATCGAGAAAAGGGTAAAACATCCAAGGGGTGAAACATTTTATAGCCACAGTAAAATAATGAGATAGACAACATGAAAATGTTTTTGTAACATTCAGAGATGTAATCAAAACTACAGGGGGCTTTCTATGTCTATACCTGAACATGGTCATCCTCAGTGACAGGGTCTGAGGTGCTGGTGGATTTGTCAGCCATTCGTTTCCTCCTTACTGCTACTCGAGGCCTCACTCTAGAAAGATCTACAGAAAAAGACAACGTTTCATGTAGTTTTTGTAAGATTTATCATAAATGGCAGAAAGTGAGACACTTATTTCTTAACTTCAAATGTAAAGCTTCATCTACTTTGAATGCTAAGTCAATATTTACACTATTTACCTGTTAACAGTTTTTTCTGTACATGTTTGCAAACAAACTACAACCACATACTTTGTGTTACTTAATCATTTTTGTATCAAATAAAAACAAAATTGTTAGTGTGTCATGATTTTTGAAACTTGTTTTCTATTTTCTAAATTAACTTTAAAGTATAATATTATGTTTTTCAGTTCAATTTTAAACCTTAATAAAGTAACTATGTCACATTCAGTTGTTATGAAAATGCTGTTTATATGTATGAATCAAAGATAAATTTGACTTTGCATCACAGCCATTTCTAAACGCCTTGAAACTTGCCTCAGTCTCTTTAAAAACCTCCGATTCTGTCACACCCATTTCTGAATGTCATCACAACAGCTTCATGCCGTTTACAACCTGTAGCATTGTAGCCTATTTTGTTGTAATAATACTAAAAAAGCAGCAACATTGTTCAATTTATGTTTTGGACAATGGCAACTCAGGATACAACTGAACCTTACTGTCCTTACTGACCTGGGAAGTACGTTTTTTGAAGAACCAGATGCGATCAGTGTTGCCATCTTAGTGAATTTGTCACTAGATCTATCAACTTTTTAGACCCCTCTAGCGACTTTTTTTTTTTTTCCAAAAAGTGACTAGTGACAAATCTAGCGACTTTTCCTGGTGTTTTTAGAGACTTTTAGGAGCTTTGGCGACACCATTTTCCAAGTACTTTTTTTCCTTTCCTCCTTTCCTCTACAAGCAGCGAACGGTGCGGTGAGCCCCCCCACCCGTCCTGCAGCCTCCTGCAGCACCCCCAACTCCAACCCCCGGCTGAAGTCAGCTGAGAGGAGACCGCTGCAAATGAATCATGCATGTGCAAAGCTGCTACTGCTTCTGTCTGGTTTACAAAGCGGGATGTAATATTTACTGTAATGTTTTTTTCTCTGGTATTGTCTCTCTAAACTAAATCTCTGGACCCAGCTGTGTTTGACTCACAGATCAGTCACTTCTTCACCTCTTCCTCCCTGTGTCTCATGACATTTAACAGTCTGCAGGTTAAATTTAAGATTCTCACTAATTTATGTAATGTGGATCTAAGCATTGAAGTCATAAAATTATTTTATTTCTTTAAGTTTAATTGCAGTTCTAAACATATTTAGTGTTTTTCTTCACTTTTTTTCTCTTTAACATCTCTTCTATAGCTCAGATCACAATTATTGGCAAACATCTAATTATGCATATTAGGTGATGATGTCATCTAGAGACTTTTAGGACAGCCAATAGGGACTTTTGTTGCTCAGGAGTTGGCAACACTAAATGCGACGTTTTTTTGGTAAGATATCTCCCAGTCATCCTCACATTTTAGCCTAGCTACACTATGCTAAACCTCCACAACGTAAACACTCGCTCCGCCTGTGTAGACACTTAAAAGTATGGCATATTGTAATTTTGAGAATCAGTTGAATTGGCACGCTTCAAAAAGTAATCAAAAATGTCCTGGTAACTAGTAATTAGGGCTGGGCGATATGGCAAAAAAATTATCATTATTAATTTTTTCATATCGTCCGAACTCGATTAATATCACGAGATGACGGCAGGCGCTGACCGAACACCCCCCCCC